CCAGTTTGGTGAGCTTTGCCGTGTGCTTTTGTACACGTGGGCCAAATGCGTTCAGCCTCTGAAATCGTGCAGTAGAACTTTAGTTGATGTGTGGTTGTTTCCACCGTGAAGAACTACACTAGGTAAAAGTCCAGCTATTTCTTGGGATTATTGAAATGAGTAGGTGCGGAGAACGCAGCTGGGAAATCGTGTTTGTGCTTGAATGCCTCATGCATTTAACTTCAGATACAGTTTTTGAAGTACCTAAATAAAGCAAAAGCCCAAATTCTTAAGGGAATTGATGCTCCCAGTTCATGAATTTCAATGGGATTTTGTTACTTAACTTCATTCCCTAAGGCTGACATCCCTAAATCTGATGTCTTATTTGATGTGTGCTTTTAAGGGCCTACATCCTATTAATTTTCAGTAATATTCCACCACATAGTTCCTTGAGTCACTATTGAAAATCAGAGTCAAGGATTATTCACAAGTGGGCTAATCTTCCTTGGCTCCCTCTGTACTCCCAAAGGAGACGGGCTGCTCTTGTGGGATGAGCAGGGTCATGCTGGGTGCTCTAAGCCAGCCCTTGCAGGAGCCCATTGGGTCGGGAATCAGAGAAGACCAGTCTCCCAATCTAAAGATGGCCCTTGGAAGCACCTTCAGGGAGCTCCTGATGCCAGACTGACGTGCTTTTCCTCGTGCCTCCCGGTGATGAGCTTGCTGCACCACGGCTGCCGCAGTGTTAAAAACCTTTGCCTTTCTGTTACTGAAGGGACAAGGTTGACACTTTCAGCTGTGTCAAAATAGGATTTCCCTAGGAAATAGAGTCTCCCTGCGTTCCCCAGGGTTTTCCCTGGTTTCCAAATAGGTTTTCCCTGGATCCTGTTCCTGGAGCTGTTGCCTGTTGAGGCTACCCTGGTGTCTTAAACTTATCCCCCACCCCAGATCATACGGAAGAGCAGAATTCAGCCACCAGAACGTAATGAATTTCAATGACTACTGACCTTCCCAGCTGGGTCGCCCTTCCAGCAGCAAAATGGCACTTCGTTCGGAAATATTAGCGGGCCTTGGCGAATTTGGTTCCCTGGGCTTGTGTGCCTTCTGTCCTGGGCAGGGTAACCCCGTTTGACCAACTCTCCATGGTAAGCAGAGTGTTTACTGGCTTGTATCTGTCTCAGCTTTGACACTCCAACAAAAGGTTAGAAATCATGAATGCATCCCTTTATTTCTGCTCCACAGTGCCTCTCTTTTTTTCTGTGTAAACCCTTCACTTGCCTCTTGCCCAGCCTTTAGAAACGATGATCAAATGCGAACTTTCAGGGTTTATTTATAGCATAGCCTTTATGGAAAGAGAGAAAAGAAATGATTAAAAAGCAATTTTACAAAATATTTTGTTTTAAGAGAGAATTCATTGTGTTTAAATCACTGTATTCATTGTACTGTCTAGACTGGCAAACAAAGAAGATAGAGCGTCATTCAAATTAAGATTGTGAAATTCTTGGTGACTGGAATTATGGATTTGGATGTCAACCCTCAAACAAACTATTTCTGAACAGCAGTATTATCACTTTGCTATATTTAAGGCTTTGTTGGAGACAGAACAGTGCACAAGGTTGATCTGATTCAGTAACGCGATTCTAATGTTCCTTTGTTTCCGATTTCATTATAAATTCATCTTTTCAATGTTCTGTTCCTCTTTGTCCCCAGAAAATTGTTGAAAAGACTCTCCTCTGGGAGTAAAGTTTTTGTTCAAACTAACAATGACCAAACTGACTTTAGAAAACAAAAAAACACACAACCGAAATGCGAATTAAGAGAGGGAATTAATTTAGGATATTTTGAGCAACGTAGAATGAGTGAGTTGTTGAAAATTGCTGGCTGTGTGTTTTTTTATGTTATTCCACATTACCGTGGTAGTTGCTGTGAGACCTTAATGCTGTGCATTCTCAGAGACCTGTGTATTTCCAGTAGATTTTAAAATACAAAAGTATTTTCCTGATAAACTGGAAACACGGCTTTGGCATCTTCCTCCTTAGCTGAAGGTGGATAGATGGGGGAACCAGCAGAAGATGAGCAGCAGCCAGGCCCTGTTCCCTGGTTTAGATCAGGGCTTGAGGGACCAGTTTTCCTTTAGGGACCTCTCCACCCCATCCTGCTCTCAGCCCTATCACAGAATCATTCAGGTTGGAAAACACCCTTAAGGTCGTCGAGTCCAACCATAAACTTGGAGCTGTGGCCCCCTCCTCAGCTGCCCGTCAGAGGATGGGCCCTCTGTGCCAGGGGTTTCAGGGCTGAGGAGACCTCGTAGGGTGCACAGGAGGCTTTCCTCAGCCCTCTGGAGACTTGGCTTCACCCGTTGAAGACCACTGCTGCAAAGTGCTTGGTCTGGAAGCTGGAGTGTCGCGGGGGCGCGGTGTGGTGCTGGGTCCCAGCAGCACAGCGGAGGCACCGGAGGGGAGCAAGGGGACCTGCTGGAGTCGGCACTGGTGTCTGTTCTCTCTCGAACAGCCTGAGGAGACCTGGAGTTAGATGAGTAACAGCGTAAAAATAAAACCTGTCTGAGATACGTTTATCTCAAAAGGCTGGCTTATTTCCCAAAGAAGCAGTAATGCATTTTTCAGCATGGGAAGTTGTAAGAGGCCCCAGAGTAAAGCAGAACATGAGCGTGTAGAGTTCTTATGGCAGAAGCAGAACATGTCCTGGGAATGGTGCTGTTCCTGTCCTGTTCTCTTAACACTGCCCAGAATGGGGAGCAGCAGGCAGGACCTGTGTCTGCACGGAGGGGTGAATGGCAAAGTCTGGCCCTCCCTTTAATTTTTTTTTTTGCACCTGTGATAAAAAGTGGATTTGTCTGAAATGTTTAGACCCTTTAGATGTCTTTGGTTTATTTCCGTGCAGTATCTCCAGGTCAATTCAAGAGGAGGTGTAAAGCAGGGAGCAGAAAGCGAGGTGAGCCTTTCCATCAGTAAGAGTGCTTCAAGGGGCTCTGCCGCTGCCTTACATTTTCTGTACGACACACACTATCTGGAAAAGCACTACTGATTGTAACAGAGGGAATTGTCTTTTACTTTGAGGTTTTTTTTTTCTGTGTGTTCGTTCATTTTTTTGGGTAGCATCTAAATCCAGCTGGCCATGTAAGGGAGTTGTAAAAGATAGAGCATTGTGAATAGGAACAACGTTTGAGCTAGTATCACCTGTTAAAGAACAGGGAATGAAATGCCCATTTCTCTTACTGGGAAACATATCAACCTTTCCATGCCAGTATTGCAATCTGGCTGGTGTGCAGGGTCTCTGTGCCAGCAGGCTCACATGCCCCAGGGAAAAGAACACGCTATCTCGCTGGAAGTGTTATTTCAAGGGTGTTTCTTGGGGATTCAAAGTACCATCACCTTGTGCACATATGAAAGAGTAGGGGCATGTGAGTGCACAGAAGTTCTCCCTGCTGGTTTATCAGAAGCCCTAGCAGAGAACATCCTGACGGCACCATCTCTGGCAGTGCTTCCCACTTTGCTAGAGCCATGACTGCATCCAGTATTAACCCCTTGAAGTTGACAAACATACAAAGTAGGTGTTCCACATTCTAGTAGCACATTTGGACTGGCAGCGTAAAAAGACATGTTGATACTGAAGGATGAAACACACACGCCCAGATCGTGCCAGGTAACAGCGCAGGTTCAGCCAGCCAGGCAGAGCTGGGGGCTGCTGCTGCTCTGGCACATGGGTGGCATCCCAGGCACTTTGTGCCTCGCTGAGCAAACGCTGCTGTGCATGGGAGAAAGAATACCTGCTGGCTCCACGGGCAGCCAAATTACATCCTGGCATTTAGGTCGTGATCAAATTTCAACATGGGAAATGGGAAACCAGAAGATACAAGGTCTGCCAGTCGTCTTGCTTATCCTCGGAGCCTCCCTGCTGGTGAAACTGTGCTTACATTGCTCATCTATGTTGTAAAGGTCTAGGAGAGACTCGACTGTAAAATGCTGGATTAGTGGAAAGCAAAGATTTTACTGCAGCAGATACTACAACCTGTAAAATCATCCATCCTTTTTAACAATCTAGCCATAGTAGGTGCCTTCCAGCAGCAGCACGGGCTGACTGTTCTCCAGGGGTCGTTCCCGTGCTCTCACAGTACTGTGCTTTAGGCACTAACATTAACGCAGATTTAGGGTCCTGCCTAGAAACTACGAGCACTGATACAGATTTAGTCAGACACTAGTTCTTGAATCTGTATCTTTTGTGTTTTACACCGTTGCACCTAAAAGCTATTGCTCTAACGCTCCTTGTGAAATGACTTCCACTGAACGTAGCCTGTGCCTGCTGCCTCCACACTTGCTGGAGAGCTTGGTCCTCTTGTTAACATCAGTGCTTGGTGTCTCATTCCAGCAGGACTGTTCAGGAGAATCCATAGAAAATCAAGATATCACAGAGATCAGGAAAGGAACCAAGTTATTCAGTCTTCTTCCTTCCACATGTGACTCTGTCCCAGAGACTCCTTCTGCAAGGGATTCTGTGACATCTCTTGATCTGACTTTGCCCAAAAGTCTCTCTCTTACACCTTTATACTGGAATGTGAGGGCAGCTCTGGGCTCCGTAACAGCACTTTGCAAGTTCCACTTAGCTTCTGGAGTGCACTCGAGTCTTCCCTTGCTGCAGGGAATTGATACTTTCAAAATATGATTAAGGGATCTCAAGTAAAGTATCATTTTATTTGAGAAATCTCCCCTCCGGGGATGCAGTGTTCAACATTTCCTTTGGTTAGTGTAAATAATAAAAGATAAGTCTGTTCTGTCTTGGACTCCCGGTAAGAAAGAAGAACAGATTTTGGTTTACTGAGGGGTCTGCAGTACTTTGTTCTCATGACTGCTATATAATGGGATTGAACATATTTTATGCCATCTGGCCTGTTCAGCTGAAACAAAATACATCAGTAATGTTCCGATTGGTTTTGAAACATCTTGTTCTTGTCAAAAAGTATTTTAAATCAAAACAGGCTTTTGCAGTGTGTGTTTGTCTTTTACTAGGAGGCCATGGCGAAAATGGGGAAAATTGGGAGAGTCGTGCAGCCTAACCATGAGCATAAAAGGTAATCCTGACTTTTGTGTGTTCATCCGTGATAATTTACTGAAGGTGAAGTTAAGGTCTGTCTCTTTATAACTCTGTGTCAGTGCGGTAGCGTTTATCACCCAGATTTTTTAAGGATTCTGTGGGCATCCAGCTGTGTAATGTGGCGGAAGGCAGTCATTCGCTCTCAGTGGGGTGCGAGCACCCTAGCCTATCTCTGCCCATGCCCATGGCTTTCCTTGGCACGCAAACGGCACCAGCAGCACAGGGATGCGACGAACGGTTCCGAAGCTGCCGGGAGGTCAGAGCAGTCTCAGCTGCCTTTCCAAAGGGTGATGCGCTTCCCGACTCTCTGACACCTTTGCGTAATCTCACGCCTGCTTCGCCAGCCGCCTGCGTGATCCCTAAAGACCCGGCGTGCGGCGGGGCGCGGGCACCCCCTGGCGGCGGCGGCCGGCCCCGGGGTGCGGGGGGTGTAACGGATGGGGCCCCCCTCGACAGAGCCGCGGGGGCGGGTGTTAATGGGCAGGAGAGCGGCGAAGCCCCGGCAGTGCCCGTTCGCACCGCGGGGCACTCCAGCGGAAAAACTGTGCTGGCCGCAGAGTCAACAAAAGGTGTAATTATAACTTGGAATCATGTGTTTGGGTGGAAACGGTGCTCTGGAATCGCACAGGACTCTGATCCTAGTAAAAGTTGTAATTAGGAAAGAGTCGAAGCTGCTTTGATGCTCAGTGAAGGAATAAACGTGTATTACAGGGGATTTCAAGCTTAACATCTCAGCCTTTGTTGAAATTAACTTTCTTACACAGATTTTATGACAAGAAATACGAAGTATTTTTGAAACTTGTGGAACATCAGAGAGAGTATCGCTCCATCATGAACAGCTTCTAATCCAGAGTCACATAATCTGGGAACAACAGGGATAACAAATTTCCAGACACTTGTGATGAGAGTAATTTCTCCTTACTATTCCGTCCATGGTAAAAAGATATCATTTAAAGTGTACGTTTTAATTCTTAATGAGAAATAAAAGGCATTCGCTTCACTGTGAAGCACTGGGTGTTTTCTGTCAATAATCCCTGCACCCCAGGGACAAGGAATAATCATGTGCTCCAGCCAGAGGAGACAAGACAACCAGCTGCGGGTACCCCAGTGCCGGTGTTTACAGACTGGCCACAAGCAGAAACAGCACAAGGAACAAAGTTAACGGTCTGGGAGAGACTTGAAGCGCATGGTCCTTTGGATTTCAGTATCTGCTACAGCTAAGACCTAAACGTGATTTCCATTGGAAAGTTCTGTTTGGGTTTTTTTTTACTCTGATTATCGTACTTCTTTGGTGGCTGATATTCGAGAATCACTTTTGCAGCTGTGCAATCTCTTTCTCGCTGTGTTCTTCTTTCCTGCTCGTATTTTCCTGTCTCCATTCTTGCAGGGCAGTCGTTTTGCGAGCGATAATCCGTGCCACTTTGTCTTTTGCAAGTAAATCACCCTCAGTGCGTGTTCATCACTGTGCAGATGTGAAACGGCCCTCTGTTTGACACTGAAAGACTAGGCTGAGCAGGCACAATTGCTGAAAATACGTTCCTAACGCAGGTGCATTCCTTCCATCCTGCCAGCTGCCTTGCAGGGAGCGGGCGCTGAAACAGCCCAGCTCTGCCTGTCCGTTCTCACCACACTGCTCAGGGCACGTGCGTCCGCAGAGCCCGCCAGCTGCGGAGCTGAACTCGGCGACAGGAGGGACAGGGAACACAGAGGGAGACAGAAAGGGTTTTCCTTCCTGGCGGCCTGCTGGGCAACAAAAGGCTTTCGTTTGTTCCCAGGTGATTTTGAAGGTTGCCCTGGCTAGTTAGTCCTACAAGGTACTGCCAGGCTCACGACGACAGGTCGTGGCATAACTGGGCTGTGGAAGGAGAGAGTTTGGACACTGTATACAGCAAAAATGTTTCACCTCGGAAAGTATAGGTTGTTTGGATCTTGCCATATCCAAATACTGCCAGTGCCTTCAGTGAAATTCTCTCAGAAATTCATTCTTTCTCTGCCATTTGTCTGTTACTTCTTAGTAAAAGATACTATTCTGTTTAAAAAGCAAAAGGAGGGTCCCCTCCCGAAGGAGAGGATTGAGAAGCAAGGGGTGACAGAAGAGCATGTTCAGATGTAACTGTTACGGGTCGTTCATGAGAACCCTTCTTTTCTTCAGGCTGCAAACAGCCACCCTCCTGGTGAGCCTGGATCATGCCAGAGAAACAACCTACAGTCCCTTTCCACCGAGTGAGTAGTCACAGAAATGGACTCCATCTTTATACGCTTAGCTTGAGAGAAATTCCATTCTTTAGTATTGGCATAGACTGTAATTCCCAGTTAAATGCAAACAGAAGTTACACAATAACAAAATTAGACTTAGGGAACTTGGAAAATAATAGTTTCTGGGGGTTTTTATGTTAGTAGTCGCCACTCAAAAACATCTGGTAATTTTTTTAAAGAAACAATGCACTTCCTGCCTTGTAGTTCATGGAAAAGCAATTGTTGCCATTTCCAAAGTACCCATTGTTAAGAGAAACAGCTTTACAAGTTCAGGGACATAATTAAAGACAATGAAAGTTGATGGGAATAAAATGAAGAAACATCATAACAAAAAGAGTATAACAAGCAAGAAAATGACTGCAACATGGTGGTATATCATAGCTTACAATTCAAGGGCACAATAAAATATGCCAACTGAAAATACGTAGAAGGAAAAAACAGTTGGAGACCAGTGTATTGTGAACAATAAATATTCATAAATTTTAATGTATCTCTTTTAATATACAATTCACATGTAAAAATGAAGTCCACTGACTCCAAATACACAGCAAATGTACACGTTATACAGGGACAGACGTGTAGGGTTGTCTGGTACAGCACCAGCATTTTTAACTCTTCGCAGCTCAACACAAACAGACATGCGCACACATTCTCCAACTTTGGCAAACTTTCCATAAACTTCCTGCTACTTATATCATCATCATAAATTTGGCCTTGATCTCTCTGGCTGAACTGGTACCAAGACTTACAAGGAAATCACAAGGAGTGTATGAAGTCTAGAAAGGAAGCAAACAGTCATGCTGACTGTGTTAAAGCTTAGGTGCACAAGGTTCAAGGAAGCCGTGTACCTTGTATGAGCTTATATGGAAGAGTTACAGAGATTTGTTCACATTTCTTGCATGATTTTTAAATGCTTTTATCCCCTTGTAATACTTCTACTTTATAGTTGCGTTTTTGTTCCAAGCCAGTGGTACTACCAGTTTCCTATTATCCATTTTAAAATCAAGACTGTACTCATTGCAGAGCTGTAAAAAATCTGTATTGCAGTGGACGTGTAATCAGCTCTGATACAAGATTTTGTAGTGATATTAACACTTCTCGTGTTATACAAGACTTAGCAAATTGCACAGTTTGCTAAGTGCTCAAATTAAAATTTTATTCAAATTGAGCCAAGATGTAAAATGTTAAAGCTCAGGAGTTCTAAAACTCTTCAACTGCAAGTTGATTGGCATTGTGATTTTAGGCTCTGTTCATCGCTTTAGGCGTTTTCAATTCAGGCAGTTTGTATGAAGGTAAACGTTAGAGAAAAGAGCAGTGTGAAGGAGTCTGGCAAATAGGCAGTGGTGTGTAAAACCAGCCGCCTGAGCGCTTGCACACCGAATCACGGGGCCATGCCAAGTATCACCGATCCTGCTTCAGCCTTTGTTGGCAGCAGAATGACAAATCCCTCGTACGCTGCCCCGAACCATCGATGACATCTGACCAAGGAGTCCACGTTTGAGTCAGTCAGGACTCCGACAGCACCCTCTGAGCTGCAGACCTCGCCATATTTACCCCGTTAGATGCAATTTGCTGACAAATGTTTATCATGCAAATTAAAAGAAGGGAAACAACCACCATGTCATCAGCTGTTCCAAGCGTCCTACAGAGAGGGCCAGGCTTCGTGTCGAATGGAGAAGACAAGCATATGATTGTTCCAAAGGAACAAACAGCGACTCTGAGGAAAAAAATCCATACGAGACCACCCCAAGTGAAGATTCCTCGCAAGGCAAGAGTCAGGAATAACGGCATGTCATAAAGGTAATCTGCAAACTAAAGATTCAGATGAGTTACGCGATTTTGCATTCTGATGCCTGCAGTTCTTTCAGCTGAATGTGCCTCTTAAGCACTTTCAGATTCACATCTCCTGAATGCAGAAGCTTTCTGTGTGTCCAAATCCACCTGCTCTGTTCAATTATTTTGCAGTATCTAGAGGCACACTCCTAAAAGGAATCCTCGCTCCCCCAGCACTTTGAAAAAAAAGTATTATGCTTGACGTAGAGTCTTTTTGGAAACTGGGCCTTAATGGCTGCACTGAGTATTTGCCTGTCTTTAAAATCTGGCATGAAGGGTAGGCTGTGAATTCTTGAAAATGAGGCCATATTTGAAAGCTCCATCTCTAGTTCTGTTTTCCTTCCTGTGTTTCATCCCACACTGCTTTCTCCTCCCTGCCAGGATGACTGCAGAACTACTCCTCTGAGCTAGGAAGTCCAAGAAGCACCTTTTCTAGAAGATGCTGGACCCAGCAGTGGATGGTTATACCTCCACTATGATATTGCCAGTAAGTGCATGGAAAAGTAGTTCACATAATGATACAAACTAGTTTTCATTGCTGGGTCTCTTTAATCCTCCATGTGTTACGTGCTACCAATTGGGTAAATGTAGATTTATAAATACTTACGGGTCGAGGCTGCCCTGAGAAACGCTTGTTGTAATCTCTAATGTCATGTACAATTTGTTTACTTGGCTTGTCCTGTTGCTTTTCACACGAGATGTTATCCAGAAGAACCACCTTCATAAAAAAAGATCAACATTAGCACAGTGTATTTTAATCTCCAGTATAAAGGACAGTGTTCCATAGTTCACGTCTCTCCATAGTCTCTCTCTTGCAACTGGACCTCTGTCCAGCTCCAGCAGTTCCACAACAGCAAGAACATTTTCCTTTTATAACCTGCATCCATCCTTCCAGTGAAACAGGCAGCCTCTGACCGAGGTCAGATCAGATTAGGAACTTCCATATTGCTTTTTATGGAATGTAATCCCAGAGATTCAATAAACTACGCAAAAGTAAAATGCTGGAGGGCTGTTTAATGTTTCACAGGGTTGCCTGATATGACATGTGTCAAATGATAAATGCAAATGGCTGCAGGGTCATTCAAGTCTAAGTGGTTTTTGAAACGCTATGGAAAATTAGATGATAAATAAAGTTGAACTGAAGTGCTCAAGGTTGTCATTTTGTGTGTATCATCATGCAGATACGTACAAGGGAGATAAGTCTTACCTTTTGTCTGCAGAGAGGGCAGGTTATTGCTGCTAAGCAGGGACTGTGTTTCCAGTATGTGATCAGACAGGAACCTACCAAAGGAGGAAAAAAAAAAAAGAAATTGTACTAAGATACGTAAATTTTTTTTGAGGATATTTAATATTTACAAGGAAGTTACCAGAATTAATAAACTCTCTTTCTATAACGGTCTGTAAAAATGAATGTAATTCTTTGCTCTCATTTTAATAGGTGGTTTTACTCTGCAAAGTGACAGTGTAAAAATGAAGCCTTAGCTCTTCTACACTGGAATATAGAGAGATACATGGACCTCCTTAGGGAGACTTTGGTTCAGTTTGTTTTCCTGTGGATAGCATCTTATTCTTGAAGCTCCCTGTATTGTGAGTGAAGCACTCGGGAATACAGGCACCCTTCGGAGCACAGTGTTGGCTGCTGCGGGCAAAAGCGGTGCAGCTGCGTAAAGGTGGAGTTCCTCCAGAGCCAGGGTGGCTTCGAAGGGTTATGAGGGCTAGTTATCCCACATAAACCAACGTGCACAGCCAAGGGGCAGTCTGGTGACGCAAACTTCTGGTGGCACAACGCATATCTTCGTGATAAGGTAACATACATCGAGCTGTTTCAGCAGTTTGATTTTTTTTCTGTCTCTTACTGTATTTCAACTCTGTTACCCTTTTGGAACTGTGTAGCTCTGGATGAGTTGCAACATTCTTTTTGATTCCTCTTACTCAGCCAACTGCTAACTAATTTCCAAATACAATGCCACCTCTTCTTATGCTAAGGTCTCAGGTGTGAAAGAGGCCGGAGTCTGAGGACAGTGAAATTAGACTGCACCCATAACTGACAGCAGTGGTTGACAAACACAAGTGTCAGTGCTGGCACGAACTGCAAAAACAGCAAAGCACAAACAGCACCTAATGAGAAGCAGCACAGCTTGACTTTCAGCTCCAAGGCGCAGTGTGCAGTGTCACAGGGCAGGAAAAAAAAATCTCTCAACATTTAAACTGATCAAATTTGACAAGGACCTCAGTGAAAACAGAAGCAGAACGCTGTGCTGCCATTTTGATGGAATTGTTTTATTGAATTGAATAATGCTTTTTGTTCTTAAAAATAACCAGCAAGTGGTTTCTTGTAGGCAGTATTATAACAAGAAATCTTCAAGAGCCCTCAGTGCACCCAGATGTACTTTGTCTATTCTCATTGAAAAATGGAATATTGGAGAAATGCATTTGGAATCAAATATAAAAATGTTCATGACACTATCAGTTACAACCTATATACTAAGGATGTTGAACTTGGCCCAAAGATATTTTTTATGAACCTCGCTCTGACTTGTGCTTTTTACTTTTGTTTTCATTCGAATGCAGTTTTTCTTTATGACTCTTCTGTTTTGTTTGCGTGCGCAGAGCCGTTGGCTGTGTTATATCTGAATCCCTGTGCGGTACGTACAACTCAGTCTGGCAGCCAGCTTCCAGCTCTCGTTTGAACTTCTGCGTTTGACAGACATCATGCCTCACTTCAGGAACTGCTTTGACCCGCTGGGTCCAGATCCTGTATCGTGATCCACACACACAGCCGTATTGCTGTGCCTGTGCTCAGTCCCAGTGGTGACAACGGGACACTGATGGATCCCACGGTTCTTCAAGGGCTTTCGAAAAAGAAACTTATGGAAATTAAAATTTGTTGCATGCAGAATCCTTTGTTTGGTAGAACAGGAAAGGAAGGACTCCTCTGAAGTTGACCTATTTGTGCTTCGGTGCATTTTTCGTAAAATAGACAAAATCCTGTTTTAATCTAGCCTGCCACACAACCTTCTGAGGAAGTCTGTAGGTTTCTCTAAAATACCTCTGTGGTTATTGTTAATTAGAAAAAAATAATATTGCTCAAGGATCGCTTTTCAGTTGAACTTCCTGAACATATGGTTCAAACTGAAGCTGAAAAGGAAAACTTCAGGACAAACTGTATGAATTACTACTAATAATAAAATCAGACATTTTTTATAAGTCCACATTAATCTTCTTTAAAAGCTCCGGGTTGACCACATTTTTTAAATAAAACTTTTACCAGAGCAGGATTTATTAAGAGAGCTCAGCATTGCCTCAGTTCTGTTCCACAGGGCATCAAGAGAAGTTTTATTACTGATTTCAGTCACAACAGACTTAGATCTACACAGAATGGTTTTGATAAGCTCAATGTAGAGTTTTATTGGTTTAAGACATGAAAAACAGACTTGTTACAGAGGCTGCTTCTACTATATAAACATAGTCATAACATATATAATGCATTGCACTGGAATCTGTGCTTCAGAGTGTCAGTGACGATGTTCTCGAGGAAGGTAAAGCCTAGCTAAATATATACAGCTAATGATGGCAATATATACCAAGCTCCTATATTGTACTACTTCTCCACAGACCCCAAACTAAAATAAAGTCTGTATCGTTATGCCGTATACACAGACAGAAAAGGGAAAATTAACCAGGCCAGAGAAAGATACCAAAGCTGATGATCTTTGTTGTTTTGTCTATCTTCGTACTTGAAACTTTAACTTCTGTGACATTATTTGAAACACGTTTTGAGGCCGTATGCTCACTGTTTGTCCTGGAGTGAGTTATATTCAAAGCATCCTCTTCCAGTATGTTATAAAACAATGTTACAAAAACATGAAACAACCTAAAGTATTAAATGGTGTCACTCGTGAGGTAGATGAGCCCTACAAAGTGTCCCTAGCTGTTTGTGATCCACTGATTTGTTGTGGTTTCAGAGGATGGAGATAGTGGCAGTGGTGATGAGGAGTTGTGCCGGGTGAGCATCACGTCAGTCAAGTAGAAAAATGTCACTTCCTGAAGATAAAAATGAGCTTTTATTGCATCAGCATTAGTCACAACACAGTCCCTTGTTCTCATTTATGTTTGGGTCTTTTTATAACACTCTTACATGGTGAAAAAGGTGTAAATGGCTTGTAAATATAACTTGCACTTGCTTTAAGGTCTCTGTAAAATGCCAGAGCAGTAGAAAGGAGCTTTACAGCTCTGACCAGTGTCTTTTGCTGTATCTTGCTGTTGCAGTATCAGATAGTACTGCTTCCAGCCGCCTGCCTGCCCCTCTGCTACCAGAGATTACTGATCTTGTGCTGCACAGCAGCCCTGGAGTACCTTCACAGGCAGTTTCAGCCTCATCAGATCATAAACTCCAGTTCTCTTCTGCCAGCCCCACTGTGGGGATGACAACAAGGAACTTCAGCAGCAGCCAGGACAGTGAGGTTGTAAACTTCACCTGTAAATTCACTGGACGATGTATGCCAGAGGTCTGAGGAAAAGTATTCAGTCTAGGCGGCCTTATCCTGCTGCCTTTCAGAGCTGGTGCAAAGCTCACACTGGCTCTGGTGATGCAGAATGTGGGCCTTAAAAATCCCAAAATCCCCTTTATAAATACAATTATGAACATAACTCCTCCACTATTCTATGCTTCATCCTTGTATTCCCTTTGAAAAATTATTTAAATTTTGTAATCCTAACCATATGGCTTAGCAGCCTCAAAGGCAGCATTCAGCAGACACGTTTATCTAGAGAATTATGGTTTTACTTGGATTATCCAGTGACTGTAAGTGCCCAGGGTGAAGACAGGAGACCACAGCACAGGCAGCCTTGACAGAAGGACCCTCTAAATCTGGATCTCTCCCTTTCCTGTTAAATTGGACTGGAATAAACAGTTACAGAGCATCCATTGTGGTGAGATGTCTTTGAACATTTTTCCCTTCTATGACCACACAGATTTACTTAAAAAACAATAAACAGATTAAAAGCAGGTTTATATATGACCAGAAACTCACTTTTTGAATTGTTCAATATGTAACTTCCACTAATTTGTTGAGGGTTTTTGTTTTGTTTAGTTTAGAAAACCTCTAGATCACCTCTGCTTTATTTTAGGAAAATGTTTCACATGGGAAGCAAGTCTGTGGAACAGAATCAGACCCAAGCTCAGTGTGTCTTACTCCCCATTTTCACCAATATAAATACAATCAGGATTAATTTTATGGGACAGCTGGATTTTTATGCTGTTGATTAAAAAGACAAGCTGTCTTCCCAGAAGTGACTTCATGCTTGAAGATAAGACTTCCTGTTTGTTACATGTTGAGCTGTCACAGTTACAAAGTGTATGATTATTAGACTGTTGATTTTTAACAGTTTTGGGTTTTTTTTTGCACAGTTGAATAAAAATCGCATCATTTTCTGGTGCATTTTACCCATTCCATGAGTTTGTGTTGTAATTTTGGAGTATCCTGTGAGATGATCTGTTACTTCTTGTTGTCTTAAGACTTCTTGGACATTTGAAAAGTTGCACCTTGTAGACATGAAAGCAATGAGCAAAAAAAAATACTGATTTTTTTGATTTTTATAAAGAAGGGACTTTTCTTGCTTCTAGTGAGAGCACTTACATGAATTCCAGGGAGAAGGGCTTGGTCCTGGTTCATACACAGGACTTGAGATTTCTAAAAGAAGAGTGCTTTATTTCGTAGCCTGTATAAGCACTGCACTGTCCATCCAGAAAACTTACCACAGAATAAATGTCCACAGTTGGTTTCTACTGGGAGAGTCGCTGTCTGGAGACAGATGGGGCAGCTGAAGTCACTGTGATTACTAGGTTTCCAAATTTGGAGTGATTCCTGGAAGAGAAGTAGTACAGAGTCTTTAATAAATTAGTATTTTGATCTACATATTCAGTTCATTGATAGTAATTTACTATGGTTAGCAGAGAGTCACAGAACCTAAGTATAGATGTCACACCTAACTAATCGTTACCTCAGCAGATAATGAAAATCAGGCACAAAGAAATGAAGTGCTTTGTGTATTCCTGCAGAAAGGACCAGTGTCAGAGGTAAGATCATGACTCCATGTTTCTGCTTCCAGTGATACACCAAATACACCACTGGATAACATATATGTTTTGAA